CTAGGGTCTAGGCCTGAAATGTCAGCCTTCCTGCTCCTATGATGCTGCTTGGCCTGCTGTGTTCATCCAGCTCTACACCTTGTTATCTCAGATTCTCCAGCATCTGCAGTTCCTACTATCTCTAGTATAATCCTGGATTGTTTTCACTCCTGGGATCCGATGTGCCTTCCTCTTTTGCTCTGCTCTCCCTTCGGGCTCTCAGGCACCTGACCTCAGCTCTTCGGTTCCCTGGTGCAGTGTGACCTGTGCTGTCATCTCTTGTTAACCACATCATGCGAATGCATGAAACCAAATTCGAACATTTCCAAGTTCACTGGCGAATGATTTTGAACCTGAGTCTAAAACCTTGAAGCATATGCAGCTTTTCCATGCAAGAGACCCTTTGAAACATGATTTCCAACCAAGGTAGATGACAAAGGCATCACTGTTTAAGATATTCATTACAATTGACACCTTTGATTCCTCCAGTTCGTCAGTATCTGTATCTTTAACTTTCTCTTGATATTTAGAATACAACTGGTGAACGATGAGCTCAGCATCCTCTCATGGAATAAGGAAAGAACTTGCATTTATAAAGCACCTTTCATAATCTCAGAAAGGCCCAAGCCATTTTATAGCATTTTAGTTATTCATGGGTGTTACTGGCTATATCAGCATTTATTGTCCATCCCTAATTACTCAGAGGGCAGTTAAGACTCAACCACATTGCTGTGGGTCTGGAGTCAGATGTAGGCCAGACCAGATAATGACAGCACATTCCCTTCACCAAACGGCATTCATGGACAAGATGAGTCGTTTCAGCAATCAACAATAGTTTCATGGTCATCATTAAATTTATTGAATTTAAGTGCCACCATCTTTGTTGAACCCAGGTCTCCAGGACTTTACCTGGCTCTCTGGGTTAGTAGTGTAGTGATAATAGTGTATGTACTGTTGTACTGTGGGAAATGCAGCCACCACGCCCTCTGTTGGTGAGGCTGATCTCACAACCTTTCAGCAGTATACTCATAAACCAGAACTGGTTTCCTGATATCATGCTGTTCAATCTTAATTTCCTATTATTCCTGTTATTAATCAATTGGCTACTTGCCTTTCCACTGAGCCAGTTAACCTTGTTGTCCAGTGACAAATTATGAAGTATAATTCATCCTAGTTAACAAAACCTATGTACAACTTGTAGTGCGATATTAACTATCAAAATTTCTGCTGCAGTTTTGATCATTTTCTTTCTCTTTCTAGATTGATGGCTTAGAGGAATTTGATGTCAGACGAATGCAAAAGTATTGCAAAACAGTTTTCTCTCTGGTTCCCTGAGTGGGATGAGTAATGAAATGTCAGCAAAAACGAATTCCTTTATCAATAGGTGTTTCGTTTGGTTTTTTGCTCTTGGTGCCACATTAAAGAGTTTTTCATTTGATGTGACCTTTGGCACTAATAGAGGAATCGTCTGAAACAGAATATTTCAAAGAGTGAAGTCATTATTCCTCCTTGTCAGTCTCACAGATAAGGTTGGACCCAAGGTGCATTAACACATGCTGATTTTTGTTGGAACATTGATCCTACAAGTAGCGTCATTGAGGGACTTGTATGTTGGAGATTTGGTAGTGTCTCTATCTCCTGAGCTATGTCACAGTATGTCTGAACAGATTGACTAAAATAGTTATAAGTAACATTGTTAAACATTGAGACTTAAAATGAGTATGCCAAGGCGTACAAGGCTATGGGCCAAGCACTGGAAATTGGGATTAGAATAGTTAGGTGGTTGTTTTCAACCAGCACAGACATGATGGGCTGAGTGGCCTTTTTTGTGATGTAGACCTTATGGTTCTATGATTCTATGAGTACTCAGCTTTTTATTAATAATTGCCATGGAGTTTAGATCATTATAACTTAATTGTACCGAAATATCCTTTTCTGTGCTTTGTTCAATTGCATACTGCAAGATTATTGTATGGTTTAACCACACCAAATATACAAAATAAAATGTTAAAGGCAAAGATCCGACACTCTATAAACATAAAATTACATTGACCTGCTAGAACCAAAAGAGCCAAGTATGCACACTGCAGCTTCTTTATCCAATGGTCCCTCGAAGCAATGAGAACATTCCTTGTCAAAAACCTGTGCATCAAACCTGTTACCGTAGAGAGGTTGTTACACTGCAGCTTCCACACAGCTGCTGACTGAGCATGAGATACTCCGGCTCTTAGTGCTGGCCACAAGCTCAATGGAAGGTTTATATCCACTCGGCCATGATGTGATCTCAGGTGAAAACAACAAATGCTGGAGATCACAGCGGGTCAGGCAGTATCCATGGAGAGAGAGCAAGCTAATGTTTCAAGGCTAGATGACTCTTCATCAGAGCTGATGTGAAATGTGGAGGGGACAGCATTTATGTTGTAGTGTTGGGGGGCTGGAGTTCTGGGGTAGAAAGGATACTGAGAGAGCTGATTAAGTGATCGGAAATGTGAGAATGCCAGAACAATGTTATGTCCAAAAGCCAAACTGGCAAGGACAGACAGTCCTACAGGGGTGGGGAGAGGGGAGAGAGGACATGGTAACAGAGAATGTAACAAGTAAAGCTGAAAGAAAGGGAAGGAATGGGAGTGTGTTCACAGCCTAAAGGTGTTGAATTCAATATTAAGTCCTGTAGGCTGTAAAGTGCCTAGTCTGAAGATGAGATGTTGTTCCTCCAGTTTGCGCTGTGATTCACTGGAACACTGCACTATGCCGAGGACAAACACAGGGGCATTTGAGCAAGGCACTGTGTTAAAATGACCGGCTACAAGAAGGGAAGCTTTACATTCTCTGTCACCATGTCCTCTGTCCCCTCCCCCTATCCCAGTGGGACTGTCTGTCCTTTCCAGTCGGGCAGGTAGACACACCATTGTTCTGCCATTCACACATTCCGATCACCTCACCTGAATTATAAATATCCTTTCTCTACCAGCACTCTAACCCCACCACCACCATATCACCACTTCCCAACCCACACCACCCCCCCACCACTACACACATAACTATAACATAAATGCTGCACCCTCCACACTTCATGTCAGCTCTGATGAAGAGTCATCTAAATTTGAAACATTATTTTGCTCTCTCTCCATGGATGCTGTCTGACCTGCTGTGATCTCCAGCGTTTGTTGTTTTCAGTACAGATTGCAGCATCTGCAGTAATTTGCTCCTACATAGGAGGGTATTTGTAATCAGCAAAGTTCTATAACTGCAAATGAATAAAAACCCAGTTAATATGTTCTGATGCTGTTGGTTAATGGGTAAGCAATAGCTAAGCCATCTGGAAAATGTCCTTATTCTTCCTTTTGTCTCATCGAATCTTTTCCATCTAGCTCAGCAAACATCTGGACCATGAGTTAACTAAAACATTGCAACTTCATCGATATAATGCCCCCCCACACTCCCTGCACTTCTTAAATCCTGAAATCACGTGTGTTTTACACAGCCACAAATGTAAATAAAATCCAGCATAGTATATTAGAAGTTCTTATGTTTGAGCTGGAGAATTACATCAATCATAATGATTCAAGAAAAGTTGAATCAAGTTAGTGTTAAAGTTAAAACATTGAGGCATGTAGATGGAATTATAACAGAGCTCATTGTGATCCAACTGAATGACAGCACAGACTCAGGGTCAAGGGACTGAATGGTCTTTTTCTGCCATTATTGTCTAACAAGAAAGAGTGATAATTAAAGAAAAAATTCTCTACTTAGATTAACTACAAGAACGTTAAAGGCATGAGTTTTGTGTTACAACAGATCCAGCTAATCTTAAGCATCCGCGATTGAATTTAACAATGATCACCCATGAGACAGATGTGCAGTATAGTCGATGGAATGACAATGCCCAGGACCAGGTCACTATCAGCATTTCGGCAATAGAAGCATCAGGCTGTAAAAGGTAAGGCTGGTTTCAAAAGATTATTCCAGAGCTCAGAGTGTGCTTAGAAGGTAATAATTTATCGACATGCAATACAAATCATTTTCCTCCAAATATCCGTGTCTGTCAGAAATTTCAGTTGAAAGTTTAAGTTGAGGACCTCAGCACTAATCCAAGTTTGTTATTTTAATCAGTAACATTATGAAGCTGAAACGGTGCACTGTAAAAGTGTGAGGTAATGCACTTTGGAAGAAGCCACAAGAGAAGGGAGTTTTCAATGAATGTTAGGACACTAGGAAGCTCAGAGGAACACAGGGATTTTGGGCTCATCCACAAGTCCCCGAAGGTGGTGTGACAGGTTAATAAGGACTCTTGCCTTAATCAGTCGTGGCATAGATTAATAACACAGGGAGATTATGTTGGAACTGAACAGAACATTGGTCAGGCCACAGCGCAGTTCTGGTTGCCACACTATAGGAAGGACGTGATTACACTGGAGGGAGTGTAGAGGAGATTCACCAGAATGTTGTCTGGGATGGAGCAGTTTACCTTTGGGACTGGATAACTCAATTGTTTTCTTTACCTGTGACTTTGGTAACAGTGGGATTCAAACCCACAACTTAATGGAGACTTGAGCTTAAATCCAGAGCCTTAGACTGCTCAGCCACACTACCACAAAGAACAGATCCTTACTTGTACATTGCCCAGCTCAGATATAACATATGCACCCTGTCAGGGAATTGAACCCTGGTCTCCTGCATTACAAGCAGGGTCACTAGCCAACACACTTATGAGGGGCTGCTTGAGGTTGTTGGCTCGCTTGCCGAGCTGGCCGTTTATTGTACAGACGTTGCGCATCAGTGCGGCCTCTGAAGAAGCAATGTTGTTCGACTCTGCTTGGAATTCATACTGTCCGGTCTGTTAAGTTGGGTTGTGTTATTTCCAGTTCTTTTTTGTATGGTTTGTAGATGGGATTAGTGTAGATGGGTCAGTGCAAACTTAATGAGCCAAAGGGCCTGTTCTGTTGTGTATGACTCAATGACTGTCTGATTCTTATTGTGGAGTTATGATTGTACAAGCCAGCTAAACTGTTTTATCTTTAAAAATGTGCAATCATTTGGTAAGATCTCAAAAATGTTACTTCTAATTCTTAGATTTGTTGTTTTTATTTATTTGTGTGTTTGTTTATTTATTTATTGTTTTTCCTTGAGGAGGTACTGAGCAAGGGAGACAGAGGAGAGCCAGTAGATGTGTCTTGTTTGTATTTCCAAAAGGCCTTTGACAAGGTACTGCACAGGAGACAGCTGAATAAGAATCCATGGTGTTTGGGGCATGGATAGAGGATTGGTTGGCTGGCAAAAGGCAGGGAGTGGGGAAAAAGGGGTGTTTTTCAGGATGGCAGACAGTGACTACGTAAGTTCCGCAGGGGTCCGTGTTGGGTCCATAACTATTCACGTTATACATTAATGATCAGGACAAAGGAACTGAGGGCATTGTTGCTAAGTTTACAGATGACACAAAGATAGGTGGAGGGGCAGGTAGTGTTGTGGAAATGGGAAGGCTGCAGACGGACTTGGACATACTAGGAGAGTGGGCAAAGAAGTGGCAGATGGAATACAATATGGGAAATTGTGAGGCTGTACATTTTGGTAGGAAGAATAGAGGCATAGACTATTTTCCAAATCAGGAAAGGCTTTGGAAATCTGAAGCACAAAGTAGCTTAGAAATCATAGATCAGGATTCTTTTAAGGTTAACATGCAGGTTCATCGAGTCATTGAGCTGTATGGCCCTTCAAGCCAACTCATCTATGCCGACCGGATATTCTAAATTAACCCAGTCCCATTTGCCAGCGTTTGGTCCATTAAACCCTTCCAATTCATATACCCATCCAGATGCTTTTTAAATGTTGTAATTGTACCAGCCTCCACCACTTCCTCTGGCAGCTCATTCCATACATGTACCACATTCTGTGTGAAATAGTTGCCCCTTAGGTCCCTTTTAAATCTTTCCCCTCTCACCTTAAACCTATGCCTCTCTAGTTTTGGACTCCCCTACCCTGGGGAAAAGACCTTGGCTATTCATCCTATCCATACCCCTCATGATTTTATAAACCTCTATAAGGTCATCCCTCAGCTCCGATGCTCCAGGGAAAATAGCCCCAGCCTATTCAGCCTCTCCCTATAGCTCAAACCCTTCAAACCCTGCAACATCCTTGTAAATCTTTTCTGAGCCCTTTCAAGTTTCACAACATCCTTCCTATATGATGGTGACCAGAATTGAACATGGTATTCCAAAAGTGGCCTAACCAATGTCCTGTATAGCCGCAACATGACTTCCCAACTCCTGTACTCAATGCACTGACCAATAAAAGCAAGTATACCAAACACCTTAGATAACAAGGTGTAGAGCTGGATGAACACAGCAGGCCAAGCAGCATCATAGGAGCAGGAAAGCTGACGTTTCGGGCATAGACCCTTCTTCAGAAATGGGGGAGGGGAAGGGGATTCTGAAATAAATAGGGAGAGAGGGGAAGGTGGATAGAAGATGGATAGAGGAGAAGATAGATGGAGAGGAGACAGACAGGTCAAAGAGGCGGGAATGGAGCCAGTAAAGGTGAGTGTAGGTGGGGAGTTAGGGAGGGGATAGGTCAGTCCAGCGACGATGGACAGGTCAAGGAGGCGGGATGAGGCTAGTAGGTAGGAGATGGAGGTGGGGCTTGAGGTGGGAGGAGGGGTTAGGTGGGAGGAAGGACAGGTTAGGGAGGCGGGGACAAGCTGGGCTGGTTTTGGTATGCGGTAGGGGGAGGGGAGATTTTGAAGCTGGTGAAGTCCACATTGATACCATTGGGCTGTAGGGTTCCCAAGCGAAATATGAGGTGCTGTTCCTGCAACCTTCGGGTGGCATCGTTGTGGCACTGCAGGAGGCCCAGGATGGCCATGTCGTCTGAGGAATGGGAGGGGGAGTTGAAATGGTTCACGACTGGGAGGTGCAGTTATTTAGTGCGAACCGAGAGTAGGTGTTCCGCAAAGCGGTCCCCAAGCCTTCGCTTGGTTTTCCCGATGTAGAGGAGGCCACAATGGGAACAGTGGATACAGTATACCATATTAGCAGATGTGCAGGTGAACATCTGCTTGATGTGGAAAGTCTTCTTGGGGCCTGAGATGTGGGTGGCAGGGGAGGTGTAGGGGCAGGTGTAGCACTTCCTGCGGTTGCAGGGAAAAGTGCCGGGTGTGGTGAGGCTGGAGGGGAGTGTGGAGCGAGCAAGGGAGTCATGGAGAGAGTGGTCCCGGTGGAAAGCAGATAAGGGTGGGGAGGGAAAAATGTCTTTGGTGGTGGGGTTGGATTGCAGATGGCAGAAGTGTCGGAGGATGATGCGTTGGATCCAGAGGTTGGTGGGGTGGTACGTGAGGACGAGGGGGATTTTGTTTTGGTTGTTATTGCGAGGAGGGGGTGTGAGGGATGAGTTGCGGGAAATGCGAGAGACACGGTCAAGGGCGTTCTCGACCACTGAGGGGGGGAAGTTGCGGTCCTTGAAAAACGAGGACACCTGAGTTGTTCAGGAGTGGAATGCCTCATCCTGGGAGCAGATGCGGCGGAAGTGAAGGAATTGGGAATAGGGGATGGCATTTTTGCAGGAAGATGGGTGGGAGGAGGTGTATTCTAGGTAGTTGTGGGAGTCGGTGGGCTTGAAATGGATATCAGTTTCCAGGTGGTTGCCAGAGATGGAAACAGAGAGGTCCAGGAAGGAGAGAGAGGTATCAGAGATGGTCCAGGTGAACTTAAGGTTGGGGTGGAAGGTGTTGGTGAAGTGGATGGGAACCCTGCAGCCCAATGGTATCAATGTGGACTACACAAGCTTCAAAATCTCCCCTCCACCAACCGCATCCCAAAACCAGCCCAGCTTGTCCCCGCCTCCCTAACCTGTCCTTCCTCCCACCTATCCCCTCCTCCCACCTCAAGCCCCACCCCCATCCCCCACCTACTAGCCTCATCCCGCCCCCTTGACCTGTCTGTCTTTCCTGGACTAACCTATCCCCTCCCTAACTCCCCACCTACACTCACCTTTACTGGCACCATCCCCGCCTCTTTGACCTGTCTGTCTCCTCTCCACCTATCCTCTCCTCTATCCATCTTCTTTCCACATCCCCCTCTCTCCCTATTTATTTCAGAATCCCCTTCTCCTCCCCCATTTCTGAAGAAGGGTCTAGGCCCGAAACGTCAGCTTTCCTGCTCCTCTGATGCTGCTTGGCCTGCTGTGTTCATTCAGCTCTACACCTTGTTGTCTCAGATTCTCCAGCATCTGCAGTTCCTACTATCTCTGATACCAAACACCTTCTTCACTATCCTGTCTACCTGCGACTCCACTTCCAAGGAACTATGAACGTGCATCCCTTGTTCAGCAACACTCCCCAGGGCCTCACCATTAAGAGTATGAGTCCAGCCCTGATTTGCCTTTCCAAAATGCAGCACTTCACATTTACCAGTTGGCAGTTAGGAAGGCTGTGTCTGCATGGGTTTCCATCAGGTGCTCCATTTTCCTCCCACAGTCCAAAGATGTGCAGGCTAGGTGGATTGACCATACTAAATTGCCCGTAGTATCTAGGGATGTGCAGATTAGGTGTGTTAACCATGGGAAATGTACGGTTATAGGGACAGCGTAGGGCGATGGGATGGGATAGGTCTGGGTGGGATGGTCTTCTCAGTATGGACTTGTTGGGCTGAATGGCCTGTTTCCACACTGTAGGGATTACATGATAATACTGAAAATGTATTAGCACTTTGAAGCTGTAGCGATTGGAACCGGGTCGACCTTATGGACTATGAGGTCCTTGATTGAGATTGTTAACCTGGGCCAATCAGGAAGTCCTGGCTGACCAGTATATGCAGGGGATTTAGAATCTCCTCAGTTCAGGCTTCTCACAGCTAGATAAATGCCCGATCCCTCACAAAGCTGGTGGGAGGGCTGGCCTTTACGAAGCTGGGCATGAGCCACACCTACCTGGAGTTGTGACTGGATGAGGATTCCCAGAAGTACATTACAATTAAACCCATAAGGGCTTACAGCAATATTCAAGGCTGCTATCTGGGGTGTAATCAGTCTGTGCCCTTTTCCAATGGACCATGGAGAATATTTTACAAGGGCTACCCCAGATAGTCATTTACCTGAATGATGCGCTAATAACAGGGAAGACCAGTTATTAATAAATAATAAAGAGCGCTTGGAGAAATTGGAAATAGTGCTTAAACATTTCTCCCAGGCAGATGTACACCTTAGGAGGGAAAATGCGAGTACCAGGCATCCCAAGTGACCTACTTGGGTCACAGAGTCAACAAAACCGGGTTGCACCCATGGGAGGATAAAGTGAGCGCGATCAAAGCAGCCCTGGCTCCCATTGTCTGTACCGGAGCTTAGTTTTTTACCTTGGGTTAGTGAATTATTACAGAAAATTCATACATAACCTGGCCTCCATCTTGGCACCCTTACACCTGCTACTGAAAAAGGGTCAGCCTTGGAAATGGTCACGTGGCCAAGAAGTAGCCTTTAGGGAAGTGAAAAAGCAGCTATCGTCATCGAATGTGTTGGCCCATTACGAACAGAAGCAAGGGGTACTGCTGACATGTGAGACCTGTCCATACGATATCGGGGTAATGTTGGCTCACTGGTAGACCAATGGAGAGGAACACCCAATAGCCTATGCTTCCTAAACTTTGGCTAATGCTGAATGCAAATGTGCCTGGATAGAGCAGGAAGGTTTGGATGTCATCTTTCATGTGAGGAAGTTCCACCAGTTCCTTTACAGACAGGAACTTGTCATAGTAACAGATCATAAACCCCAGCTAGGGCTACTGAAGGAAGACAAGGTGGTGCTGCCTATAGCTTCTGGCCGAATTCAGCATTGGGCCCTTATTCTCAATGAGTACAAGTACAAGCTGGAACACCGTCCAGGAAGCCAAGTGGCTCATGCGGATGTCCTGAGCCACCTCCCACTGGCAGGTACTCCACCGGTGGTGCCTGCCCTGGAAGAGTCTGTACTGGTTTAAACTTTCAGGACACCCTTCTGGTCACAGCTGACAATATCTGACTGTGGACACAAAAATGTTCCCTAGCAAAACTAAAACAGCTAGTGCTAATGGGAGAGACAGAAGGGCCATCGCAAACAGGACTGAAACCTTTTTGGACCCGGTGAGACCACATCACTGTAGAGTTCAGTATGTTACTTTGGGGAGTAAGGGTGATTGTCCTGAGTAAAGATCGTGGCCAATTACTGGCTGAACTCCACCAGGGTCATCCAGGGGTTTCCAAGATGAAGATGTTAGCAAGAATTTATGTCTGGTGGCCAGGGTTGGATGCCAACATAGCTGCTTTGGTGGGGCAGTGCCCCGGGTGCCAACAAGGACAAAAATTGCCACCAGCAGCGGCCCCATGTTCATGGGAATGGCTAGGTAAACCCTGGACACAGTTACATGTTGACAATGCTGGTCCTTTCATGGGCTCAATGTCCCTGATCATTGTGGATGCCCATTCAAAGTGGTTGGACATGCATAAAGTCCATTTGGGAAACTCAAGGATGACAATTGAGAAGCTGCGAGCATTGTTTGTGATGCACAGACACCGGGAAGTATTGGTCACAGAACAATGAGACGTCATTTACCAGCAGGGAATATGGATATTTCCTGAAGTCAAATGGCATGTGTCGCATAAGGACAGCTACATACCATCCATTGTCCAATGGTCTGATGGAAAGAGTGTCCAAACATTGAAGGCAGGCTTAAAGAAGCAGCCTACAGCATCACTCAATTCCAAACTGCCCCAGTTCCTGTTCGATTACAGGAACAACAGTGACAGCAAAGCTGCTGATGGGGAGAAGACTCTGCACCAGGTTAAACCTGAAACTCCCAGACCTATGGAGGACAGGGTGAAACAACATCAGGAATACCAATGCTGGCCACGTGCCTTCTCTGAGTGAGAGAACCATGGGAATGGCCCTGTATGGGTACGAGGCGAGGTTGACGCGAGGTCAGGTCCTGTCACTTACAAAGTTCGGATAGGTGAGGCGGTCCTGAACATACAGGTGGATCACCTGAAAGCTGTTACCTCACAAACAGGGCAGGAGCAAAACATACCTGTCAGAAACCGTAGGTAGTCCCCTTCCGTCTGAGATGGATGCAGCCTCGATACCACTGCCACCAGAAGAAGAGGTGGTAACTCTGCCGAGATGCTCCAGACACAAGAGCAGGGTTACAGCCCGTGTCAGAGTCCGAGCCAGAGGAACCGGACCTGGGGCGAAAATGTCACAGGAAAAGCTACAAGAGAAAGACCAGGACCTGGGGGGAGGGGGGGAGGAGGGATATAGTGATTGGAACCAAGAGGACCTTGTGGACTATGAGACCCCTCATTGGGTTTGTAAACCTGGGCCAATCAGGAAAGCCCTGGCTGGCCACTACAACGTGGAGATTTGGAGTCTTCTCCGTTCAGGGGAGTGACTGTGAGCTGGCTGACCCCAGTCTACTGTGCACAACTAAATAAAGGGTGACTTGGTGATGGGGTACCAGCCTCTGTGTGGTTATTTCAGAATCAGATAAAAATATCTGCACATGCAAGAAATCTAAAACAATACTGAGCACTAATGAACTTCAACTCACTAGCTGTCGTATGCAGGAACGTAGAGTTGAGGTTAAAGTTAGATCAGCCATGATCTTATTGAATAGCAGAGCAGATTCAAAGGGCTGAGTGGCCTCATTTTGTTCCTTAACACGTTGGTACATTTGTACTCAGTTCACAGTTGTTGAAATCCAGCATTATGCTTTAACTTGACAGCTGTTTATAAATGTGTTTGTGAATGTAACATTAGGTCCTGATCCACTTTCTCCTGTAATTTCAGAGAGTGGTCAAGGAAACCTATAAAGAAGCAGTGAGAATTGATGGAATTAGCAATTAATGATCTTCCCCATTATGCTCTGTTACTGAGGCTTGGTATATATATCTGTGTCAAAAGACACAAGCTGAATCGAAGGAGATTTTTTTTAATAACAGCTCCCCAGAACTGCCAGCCAATTAAGAGTTATCATGTTGCAAGATTGTGTTACTGTGTCCTCGTGTGTAGATAACCGTTGCTTCAACAGTCTTGCTGATACTTGTAATTCTGACCTTTAAACATTTAGCACATGTTTGTTTGTTTCTTATTTCAGGATTTACAATAAATTGTGCACCGGAAAACTAGGCATTGTGATGAAAGTACTTGGAGGAATTGCTGTGTTTTGGATCAACTTCATCATTGGTTATGTGACAGGTTACTACGTCCACAAGTGCAAGTAGAAACCTGAATAATTCCTTCTGTTCCACCTGAGAAATTGTTCGATACTCTTTCTGGAGTGATCCCCAGAGTAGCTACTGTTTGAATACTGTATAATGAGAGAATCAATCTGAAAAACATCCATCATATAAATTTACTGGAGTACACTATTGTTGAATGTTGGACATGAAATTAAACTCTGATGTAGTTTTTTTCTCTCTAAAAAGAACAAGTTGTTCCGATGGGAGTGTGTTGAGGAAGACAAGTGCACGGTAGGGTATGCTATCAGCAGCTCAGTAACATTGCCATATCACATCACAGCCATATAAAACCCACGGCACACAGATTGACTCCAATTGCCTTTCTTTTTTAAAAACATTCAAATTAAGTTCCTTTTTGTCTAATGCACCATGCAATTTTACCAAAACAAATACTGGGGGCAAAAACAGAAATTGCTGGAGAAATGCAGTAGGTCTGGCAGCATCTGTGGAGAGAAACGCAGGGCTAATGTTTTGAGTTCAGTCACCCTTCTTTCAGAACTGGGGATGCTCAAAATATGAAATGAAAGCAGAAAATGCAGGAAGTGCTCAAGAGGTCTGGCAACGTCCATCAAATGAAACACAGGGTCAATGTTTTAGGCCGACAACCCTTCATCAGAGCTGGCTACCACTCCCGTACCTGAACTATTAATTCTGTGTCTGCCTCCTCCAATGTTGCCTCTTTGATGAATACATTCAGTATTCCATTTTAAATGTTTGGATGTGTTACTGAGCCATATGCACCAGGTAACGCCATGGTCTGAATCCTGGGGCCAAACAGGTTTCAACATCTTTAACATTTGGGAAGCAAATTCTTTGATGTTTTTACGGCTTTCCTCCAACCCCCACCCCACCCCACCCCACCCCTACCCACTCCCAATCGCTGCCCAATGACACCCTCCTAAAATTGTGTAGGCAATGGGTGAGGAAGCAATCAGTCTGTAACATCCTCCAAGTTGTTATGATCATCCAGTGAACGCTGTGTCTCTGACACTAGGAGCTATGCCTGTACAACTATATTCCAGGGTGGGTTAGGAAAGGCCTGTCAGGAAAGAAGGGGACAACGTTAGCTGAAAATACCCTTAGTAATAGTTGACTTCCCAGTTATCATTCCTCAATAAACTAAAACCTCACCAGCCGAAAAAGACTGCTGAGCGTGGAGGTTCGAGGGTCAGATTCTGTACAGGAATGCAAGCGGTCAATGTATTCGCTGATACTGTTGATCAAATGCCAGAGCACTTTGTACTTGACCCGAGTGTAGTGCATACAAACTTTCCGTCTCCAACTGGTCAATGTCCCAATCCATTCACAAATTGTCCAAAACCTGTCCCCCATCTCCAAATGCATTGTCACCTTGGGCACAGGAGTGCAACAGTTGAGGGTCAACATTGTGTTAAAAATAGTGTTACTACTCTTCAGTGAAGAGTTACACCATCCGACTTAGTAAGGGATACTAAAGCACCCGTTCAATAACTGTTTTAACCAAAGAAAATATGCCATTGTAAATGTCTGTTCCCAAATGCTTCACTTCTGACAGGGAGTCTTGCCAGCTGACATCACATGCCAGGTCATTTACTCAACATTTGGTTTAACTTAATTGATGGTAGGTAAAACATGTATCACGCACACTAGAAATTGAAGCTTCTCACCTCAAACAAAAGCCAGAAAATGCCCCATCCTTTACAGAGACAGATTCATGTCTCACACACATGGTAATGTATATGCTGATGGATGTAAGATTTTAGACCTGATTTTCTCCAGAATCTGCAAGCAGCAAAGAACCTCAACCAGGGCCAGGTTCCAACTTTGTGCGCCCAAAATGTGTTGTGCCAAATTCTCCAAGATGTTTTTGGGACCAGAAGGAAGTTATACATCAGATATATTTGTGCCACACCTAAATAGAATAACTATTAAAATCAAATCTCACACCAACTGCTCTGAGTTTTAATGAAACTTTCCCAGAGCAGGCACCTCACCAATTTAAAATGGCCCTCTGACAGACTGGAAGGTCTCGTGTGCTGTGTTTCTGTAAATAAAGCTGACGTTGTATCTCTTGGCAGTAAACTGTTCTCTACTTGTTCATTCCAGACTATTTATTCGCCTGTATGTTTTTGACTTTTTGTTGAAGTATTGATTAAAACTTCATTACCATGCAATGTTAACAATTCCCAATGCAGTGTAAGTTCCAGATCACAATGTTTTGATGCTGTGACTTATTTAGCTGTTCTCTTTCTGATGATTGTATCAGGCGATGGTTTACAATTCAGGAGAGACTGCCCTTTTCTGGCATCAATACCCAAAGACCCACATTTATTTATAATGCAAACCACTCATGTTGAAGAGACCTGTCTACCAGCAGCTCCAGTTCACTGCAGATCTAGTGAGCAAGACACTTGTTTTTTTAAAAGTCTGTTTTACAGATTTCAGTCTCTGTGAAAAATCCATCCCATGGAAGATTGATGCTGTGTGAGACTATAATTGATGAGTGAGGAGTGAGAATAATCTTGCAGATTCCAGTATAATCCTCAATGGAGGGAGACGGTCAATGCTTCAGGGCCAATTCTCCTGCTCAGAGCTGGGTGTGGTGGGGTTTGTGACAATGTTGTTTCATTTCCTTGGGGAGTTTGAGTGTTGATCAAAATGTTTTGCTGTGATAATTACTGGTTTGTTAAGACAATAATGTGGACTAGGTGTTAAATTGATTCACAACGTGGAGGGAAGGAGGTGGTGGCCAAAGCTGGGAATTAAGATGGTCTAGAGAGAGTTCAAGACTGAGGCAGGCGGGGGGTGGGGGGGCTGTGGTGGGGGCGCTTGAGCTGTCCTGTCTCCTGTCTGACTACATTCAAGGCTACAAATTAAATATAAGCATTTAAGCATTCTCATAATAAGAGAATCATAGGAAGGCATTTTCCTATTGCACCTCCAGCAAATGTTTGTTGTGCAGTGTGACATTGTTAGCAAGTTGATCTCACCTGATCAGATAGAATCAGATGCTGCAGGATCCTAAAACATACTGAGTTTCAACATGGGTACTTTACCATTCCTTAGGAGGGCTGTTTAGTATTTTTAAAGGGATGTAGCCAGTTAAAGGTAAATTACCACATTTTGGGATATGTGGACTCAAGGCCATTAATGCATTCAGTGTATATTTCAGCACTTGCAAAGATTATCTGTGTAACAAACGTGCATGGACAGATTCTGTGTCTAACTGATATACTTGGAGTCAGGAGTCTGATGTGAGAAAGTAATGGAATGTGGAACACACCATTAGCAATTCTGATGCCCCAAGTACAGGTGGAGCAGGAGTGGGGTAAGATTGGTTCTCCTGCTATTTTTGGACAGGAGTCTGTCAGACAGGAGGCAGAGGAGGAATGTCTGACAGCATTGATAAACCCATTGGCAATGCCAATCATTTGGTACATGCTAACAGCAGATGGCATTGCAGAAAGTGGCACGACTCCACACCAGTCTGTCTCCTGATCTAGGTCCTGTTTACAAGTTATTGCCGGAGAGGTGGAAGGATACTGAGCAATTGGTTGAAAGCTGCCTCTGGAGTATCCTGACCTGTTACTGCAAAATTGGTGGGTGCACCAAATAACTCATTATGTCACAACACTTGGCACAAGGTCTTCTGATCAACTGAGGAAGTTGGGCAAATGTCTAAATTTAACGATAAGGAGGTTAATGTTGGTGTAATTAATGTAGCTGGCAACAATGGGAAAACTAAACAGGTGCTGACTGGGCATAGGCATCTTCATTCATTTTCTGATCTGTTTTGTGTAATTAATCAGAAAATCTATTGAATGTCTTCATATCTAATTCATAGCACAAATCATTCCCAACCTTCTAAACAAACAAACATTAATTCTTAATTAGTAGAATTTACTTTGTAGAATTTGTCCTACAATGTTCAATTCCACACCAGCAGCTCTTAGGATCACTTTTTGGAGTAATTCCATTCTTTATGTAGGGCATGAAAAAATAATTATTTGATTTCAGAAGGAATCTTCAACAATATTTTGATCTATTTACAGAAGAATAATGAGGAGAATCCTAGCTGATCTGATTGCATACCAACAATGTAGATTCCCTATGGCATCAGCATCATTTTTGTTATATTCATTCATAGGATGAGGGCATCGCTGGCTAGGCCAGTGTTTATTGCCCATCCCTAATTGCCCAGGGGGCATTTAAGAGTCAATCACATTGCTGTGGGTCTGGAGTCACATGTAGGTGAGGATGGCAAGTTTCTTTCCCTAAAGGATATCAGTGAGCCAGATGGTTTGTTTCTGACAACTGGCAATGGAGTCATGATTATCATCATCAGACTCTTATTTCCAGGTTACTGTTGAATCCAAATTCTACCATCTGCCATGGTAGGATTTAAACCCCATGTCCCAGAACATTACCTTCGTCTCTGGTTTAAAAGTCTAGCAATAATACCACTGGCCATTGCCTCCCCTCATTGTTAACCTACTCTCTGCACAAACTAGAACCAATGATCAAGGTGACCAATTCCCAATAGTCATACAACAAAAGGTCTGTTTTAATGACTTAGGACCCTAGCCACATGTTCCAATGTGATCACATAAAAATATTCTTTCAGTTCAAGGTCTTTCAGCAGTTTTGGCTAGTTCCAGTGTTTGATAGTAAATGTCACTCCGCTCTTGTGTCAGCCATGGGTGTCACAGTCTCGAGCTCCTAGGTTCAATCCCCACTCCAGGACTCCAGCATGGAAAGTGGATGCTGCCACTCCAGGGCTATGCTTCACTGTCAGAGCTGACATCTCTCAGGTGAGACATTAAACCAAGGCTCCCCTGATCTGGCAGATGTAAAAGATCCCATGGCACTACATGGATTAAAAATTGCAAGGGAACATTCCCTGGTTACCAGATCAATCAGTCACCATCAGAAGAACAGATTACAGAGCCATTATGACATGGTGAGTTGTGGGAGCTTGCTGTGTACAAAATCAGCTGCCCTGATTCCTACTTTATAACAGAGATCATACTTCAAAACTACATCATTGGCTGTTTGGTGGACGTGACAAACACTACATAAATGTAATCTTTTTCCAAGAGTAGGGATGTCAAAACAGGAAAAACTAATGACACAGAGTCAGCGTGACCCTAAGGTTAATCACAAACAGTTCGAAGGGACATTATATTCTTGCAACACTCAAACAGGGTATTTTGGATAGAGATGGGGTTGGAGAGGAAGTGTTTGTTTTCCATTCTGCCAGACTGCGATTTGGGGATTCTGCCACCAGGGAGCACCGTTTAGGAGCTGGAGCCAAATCTTTCAGAACTGAAATTGGGAAATATTTCCACACATTGTAACGGATTTAGTTTGTCAGGAATGTCTGCCCTAATTTATGTCTGACTCTGTCAAATAATTTCAATGACATGACTTGCTACCATATCGGGTATGTTTATTAAGTACAACAATGAATGACCTTAGGCAGTAATTAAGAGATAAATACA